GAGATAGGCTGAAGACCAGGGCTCAACACTGCGATGGGCTTTCTCTCCTGTCCTGTGGCCGACACTCACACTCCATTGCTTCTCTAGTTCCTATCGAACTAAGGTCTTCCGGCCTGTCGGCCTTCACATGCCAGATTGTAATAACAATAATAATAATAATAATAATAATAATAATAACGTGCTTACACACCCTATCTTTTCAGATGGATGTGAGCTCTTTGAGGACATGTCATATTTGTCTTAATATTTTCAAAGGCCTATTTCCAATGTCTAACAATTAGTAAACCCTCAATGAACATTTGCTAAACCATGAACGCATAGCTAATGGATGGATGGATGGATTCATACCCTAATGACAGAGAATCAAAGGCTTCTTAAATTTTGAAACAAACATTGGTCACCTCTCCAACCAGGAATGGAGAGCACTTCTAAAACAGACCAAGTTATTCACTCAGAAAGTAAGCATGAAAATGTCTTCACGTTTTTTCAGTTATTTCTTCTTGAAATAAAATTCCCCTCTTGTGTTCCAGGGATCCTAGGGGTAGGGGTTTGGGGTGTAGGCTCTATGACTCTGGGTCAGCTCACTCAGGGGAAACCATCATTTAAACAAATTTTTCTCAAAATGTGGTCTGTAGACCACCTGTGTCAGAATCCTCCAAGGTGCTTGGTAAAAATGTGGATTCCTAGATCTAATATCTGACTTGATGAATGAGAATATGAAAGCTGGGGGCCCAGGAATCTCAATTCTAAAGCTCTCCAGTGCGGTTATGCTTTGCTGAAGTTTGATGAGCCCTGGTTAGAACCTCAGCGGCTATGTCTGGTGGGGAAGTTATCGGCTGGGCTCCATCGATGTGGATTCAGCAGCCATTCTAGAAAATAACAGCTTTAATACTAATAACTTTAAAGCTAGCAGCAGCCAACACATGAGGGCATCCTTGTAAAACGCATTATATACATTTTCTCACTGAAACTTCACACCTGCTAATGGAAGTGGCATTATCCTCCCTGTTTTACAGACAAGAAAACTGAGGCTTTGAGGAGTAAAGTTACTTGCAGAAGCGGGACACAAAGACTGATTCCTAAGCCCAAGCTCTTACCCATTATGATGTTACAGTGTCACCTATTCAGAAACCAAGGAAGTGACAGGAGAAGGAGCAAAATGTCTAATTTTCAGTGCTGTGCTGCAGTGAGCAGAGGTGAAACAAAGACAGCTCCCTGGCCTAGTAAGGAAGGACGTGCTGCAAAGGTGACTTGTGGACAAGCCCAGCTTAGGAGGGGCTCTCTCCTACTCTGTCTACCTCCAGGCCTCCGTCCACTGACTGGAGGGGGTATCTGATAGGATTCCACGGGAGCTTCAGACCAGCTTCCAGCCTGGCTTGAAGTGATGGGAGCTGGGCTTTGTATGGACAGAGGGCTGGGGGTCCTGACTCTAAGTTGCGAGTGATAAAGGGGTGTAGGGAGGGAGCAAGGACTGTCTTTCCAGGCCAGACAGTCTAACAACGCCTCCCCACCTCGCAGGTCCCACTTTTAGAGGAAATCTACACCCTTTCTCCTACCCCTGGCTGTGATGAACTAAATCTCACACTTCTGTCGTGGTGGTGATAATTAAATATTATCCGCCTGCCACTTGACGCACATGTTGTGTGTATTCTCAGACTTTAATGAGCTGGTATTTGTCTTCTGTAAGCAAAAATATTTCTTGGAGTCTCTTCTTTTTCAAATTGGGGTGAGCAGTTCAAGTGAAGATCTCTCACTATTAAAAAGACAGTCTGCCTACTGGCACCTCGGTGTGAACCATTTCTACTTCTTTTTAGGAGCAATGGCAGGCAAAGCTTTTCCCTTTTTCCTTTTCCCAAAGTCGGCCGTGGCTTCCTGAGGTTAAGTTAGTGGTCATACGGCAGGAGGCATTGGGAGATTTGAAAATGACGGGAGTAAGAAGACAGGGAATTGGCATCAATTGTTTTTGTGGGATACGCTCAGGCAGCTTTTTCCAACATGGTTTTCATCTAAGCACCATGGAATACAGACAATATTTGAGTGGAAATTTTCTCAGTTCTTCCAAGGGAGGTACTTAGTACCATTCTAGATGCACACGAGAGAAGTTAATTCATTCCCTCAAATGGGCGTCTTAGGACGTACTCCTCAAAGAGAGCCTGCATCACCATCACCTAGAAAGTTATTAGAAGTTCCAATTCTTGCACCCCACCCCAGACCTACGGAATCAGAAACTCTGGGGGTAGGGTTTAGCCATTTGTGTTTGTTTCATCAAGCCCCCCAGTGGTTTTGCTGTAAGCTAAAGTTTCAGAGCTATTAGTGACGGGAAAGCACCAGGGCTTAATTCTACAGAGGAGCAACCCAGGTTGAAAAAGGCTTCAAATATCTACGTCTGTATTTGTATCTATACCCGTTTTCATTTAAAATAAAAAATATCAACCTCTTAAAACTGAGTTGTTGTTTTTTTTAAAACGTAGAGTGTTCCTAGATGGAAAAATGATTTGTTTCTGCCAGCTCTCACTTTGGAAGAGCGCCCTGTTATTTCCCCCATTCATGAGGTTTATAACAAATGTGTTCACGGCAGCTGCTCCCCGGGCCTGCATTCATGCTCCGCCTGGGGGCCTCCTCTGACCCACCGCCAGGTTTACAAACCCACGAAGCCCTTCCTGAGAACTCCCAAAGCAGGACAGAGCCTGGGGCAGAACTCCCACCTCCACTCAAAACAAAGAAGTGATATAATTAGTGTGCTGTGGGACTGCATCTGGAGTTGATGAAGAGCAACTTTAATATTTATCAATAAACACCAGAGTGCTTAGCACACCTCCTAGAGAAGTAATTAACCATAAAAAGGATACTCTGCACCAAGGAATCTCCTCCAAAAAAAGAACTCCATTAATTGGGAATTGCTTACGCCAGGTGAGATAATCCATGTCTACCTCTCTCACCTGACACAAGCAACTCTGAATTAACTGGGAGTTTCTTTTTATAAACACCGTGCAGAGCCTTTTTTTCTCGGTGCTTAATTACTTCCTTGGGAGGTTCGCTTTAATAGTTCCCATAACAAGGCCATTATTGTCTCCAGTATAATCACTGCCTCCTTTGCTTTTGTGCCCTGCCTCTGCCCACCAGGAGGGCACCTGAACTGTGCCCATTGCTTGGGCAGTCCTCAGGCCAGGGGACCAGCAGTGACTACTGCACCTCGTCCAGCTACACCACTGCAGGAATTTGGTTTTCTCCCGGTGGGAGCCCGGATCAGGGGCACAGCTGGTGGAGAGGGATATGGGTGGCACAGGGCACATTCGGGAGACTGAGTCCTCCTCCCCTACATGCAGCATTCTAGCCATTTACTACGCTTTCAGCTGCTGACACCCACAACAGGGAAGCGAGCCAGGACAGCAGCTCCTTTCTGGAAGAGGAAGCTGATCTGTAAGCAACTGCTGTGCTCAGTGAAATCACCAGGGACCAGAAGCAAAAATAGTAAACCTTACCAGGAAAAGGAGTGTGATTTTGACTCTCCTGGGAAAAAAAATGTTTTATACAGTTATGCCTCACCTCATTCAAAAATGAATTAAAGCGGCTTCTATTTTGGCTCAGTTGCAGGAAGGTAAATGAATGAATGGGAGCTCTGTAAACTACATCAGGTCTATAATCCTTTTGGTTGGTGTACTCCTATCGATGTGTGTGCATTTGTTTACTTACAAATTACCTACATGTACAACTGCAATGATAGATTATGGAAATTGCAAAATGTCTATTAAGAGGATGAGGAAAAATAAAACCAGAATGTCCATCACCCGGATGGATCTTACCTCATTTTGTAAACCACCAAAGCCCACCCCTTGGGCCATGAGGGCAGGAGCTGACACTCCCAGAGCACAGTGACCAGCACATAGTGGGACTACTTACATTTTTGTTAAATCAAATAATTGGGCACATAGATCCTCTTATGCCCGGAAACAACCCCTGCCCTTAGGGAATTCTGACCAGTGAGTAATTTTGGTGGGGGTGGATCACTCACCTTACTAACGTTTGGGGAACATGACATGGTATTCTTAGGAACTCAGGCAGCCCACATGCCACCTCAACCCCATTTAGCCCCAGAATCTTAGCACTCCACCAGTGAATAACACAGGCAAATTCAGCTCGAGCTTTAGAACAGGGGTGGGCAAACTTTTCCTGTAAAGGGTCAGAGAGTGAGTATTTCAGCTTTGGTGGTCATGTGGTCTCTGTCCAACTACTTAACACTGCCGGTGTCAGCTTTGGACAAAACATAAACGAATAGGCATGGTGGTGTTCCACTAAAATTTTGTATATGGACACTGAAATGTGAATTCCACATAGTTTTCATGTGTCATGAAAAATTACTCTTTTTTAGCTTTTTCCCCCAACCATTAAAAGTGAAAGAACCATTTTTAGCTCTAGGGGTCCCTACAAAAATAGTCAGTGGGCTGGACTTGGCCTGCAGGCTAGGGTTTGCCAACCCCTGGTTAGAACAGGGATTTTGGAGTCAGAGCTGGGTTTGGGTCCCAATTTTACTATTGGTGATTGAGTTACCTTAAAAAGTTCCTTAAACTGCTCTCCAGGCCTCAGTAGAGGAACATCCTAAAAGGCTGTAAGGATGAAGGGACGCATTACTTATGTCTTAGCGCGGTGTGAGGCACATAGTGTCATCATCATCATCATCACAGATTTGTAACTCCCAGCCCTGAAAGGTCTGGCAGGAACAGTCACCCAAAGGCAGAGCGAGGGCCCAGCCACCTTTGTGTTGCGATGTGTACTTGAGAACCTGAAGCCAGCATCAAACCCTTGTGCCTCCAGATGGTGTCTCCAGGAGCACCCATTGGCTCAAGGACACATGTTCTCTGCTGCATTTGCTTCAAAGAAAATGTAACAACAACATTTGACAATAGTATAGGTGAGGCCTTTCAGGAAAAATGATGCATGACGACAGCATATACACAATGCTCTGTTCTTGAGGGGCTGGGAATTAGAAGATGCTTGCTCACCTCCCTCATTATCCTTGTTATCAGCACAGGAAGTTTCCATGGCAACGTTGCATCCGGGTCCTCTCCAGCCGGTCTGGCAGACACACTGCCAGCTGTTCTGACCCAGTGTGCATCTCCCGTTGCCGTTGCACAAATCAGGGCAGCCATCTGGTTGGAGAAATGGAGAGGATGAGAAGGAGGGACGTGAGGCCACGCTGGGGCAGCAGGGGAGCCATGCAAAGGGGGAGCAAGGCCGCAGGGCAGCCACTGGGCCAGCCTCAGAGTGGGGCCCATGCCTGCCTTCGAAAGAATCAGGGAAGCAGGCGACGCATGCAGTTGCAAGCCATAGTGGGGTCCCAGATGCAGGGGATCCCCAATGACACTGACCTGTGTGAAGGGGTCTGAGGCAACCTTCTCAAAGTGGGGAACATTCCAGAAAACTAAACTAGCTCTGAGCTTACAACACTAGCTAGGCTGTTATTTCCAGCCAGTGGCTGAGGATTGATGCTACCTCAAAAAAAATCTTTCTTTCTTTCTTCCTTTTTTTAGAAGTGCCTTCTGCAGAAGAGAGAAAATACCCTATCAATCCAGGATGGAGGCAAAATGCCCTCCATCTTTCAGAATTTTAAAGATAAATTTACATATGATTATTACGAGCTTCTTATGACCAAGAACTAAATGGTTCTGCTTGGCTATTTTCATATTTTTGTAATATTTAGTTTTAAGGGGCACTTTAAAATGTTGGCTGCTTATCACTCAACCTATTTATGGCATAATTTAAAAATACTGCAGGATCTGCAGGCTGTGGAAGGAGTAGGTGCTGAGTGCCATGAACTGGGAAAAGACAGAGGAATGTATATATACTGGGGGGAAAGTGCTGGGGTTCAAGTGATTCTTATTTGGTGGTTTTCTTTTCTTTTCCTGTCTTTTGGGGGTGTGTGGAATCAGCAGCCTACATAATTCCCTAATTGCCCCAGCACCCAAAACAACTACAGCTACCACTGTCCTGACCTGAGCTTGGGCAAACGGAGCCTGGGGGGAGGAAAGAAGAGAGAGTGGGGGCTACTAAAGAGAGAGGGGAAGTCTCCCAAGCACAGCCTCCTTTGCCCTTCATAAGATGCAGAGAGAAGCAGAGAATTGGCAGGATGTGGCCAGACTCACAAAACCTACTTGCTGGCAAGAATTCCTAGATATGTTTTCATTTTTCTTTCTTTTAACAGGTTTATGGGGACATAATTTACATACCATAAAATTTAACTGTTTTACGTGTACGATGCAACGACTTCTAGCAAATTTAGAGTTGTGCAATCTAGGTATGTTTTCTTACTTCATTTAAACATACCCCAAATGACCATTAATTTAATTGTCCCTAGAAAATAACTTTCCTGAATATCTAGCTCCACCTCTAATTCTACATGTACCTCTGCTACCATTTCAATCTCCATCTTTCTTTATATCTATTTTTAAACCACACAAAGTGCAGGGTGGATCGGGCCACGGCAAAGAGATGAAGAGGCTTGTAACGATGGAGGTAATTGATTTGAAACCTTTCTGGCCCAAATCTTCTGAATCAAAAGCGTGCATCTCTCTCTCCTTCTCTCTCCAGCGGTCCAGAGGCCTTCTCCTGGCACCCTTCCTCTCTTCTCTCCAGTTCCCCTTATGAGAATGCCAACAAACCTAATTGGTGCATGTGGTTGTGGTGGGAATTTAAAGGACTCCTCCTAAGAAGAAAGGTCTGGAGGGTCTGAAATTGAGTTGAAATTTACTTCTTTAAGAAGCTTCCCTCCTCAACGCTTGTTCCCTCTCATCCTTTCCAGAATATGGTACGAGTTAGGACCTGAGAGAACAGGGTAGGCGACGGAGGAGAAGTTCTATATGGGGAGGTCTGTGTAAGGAAGCTGAGCTGTCTTGAGAAGAGAAATGAGGAGACAGTTACCAGGGCTTGCTTTTTCTGTTGTACAGCCTAGCACTGAATTCAGGATGCAAATCAAACACCAACGTTTGCGTACCTTGAGAAAGACTTGCTGGTCCCACATCTACCCTCATAAAGCCCAGATTCACATTTCCACTTCTTTCCTTACCAAGGAGGTGACTATAGCCTTGCCTGGAAAACCAGTGACATGCCCCTGTTCATACTGTGAGAGAGCACTGGAAGGGGACGTCATCCCCACTTTGAGAGAAATGCCACAAACATTTCTGCAGGAGCAAAATGGAACGCAGTAGGAAAAGCCCAAGAGACATTTTGCAGATTCTCCAGGAAAAGAGAGTGTCTCCAAACTCTAGTCACCTCCAGCTTTACAATTTCTACCAGTAGAGCTTTAGGGATCGGATCACAGAGAATACGCTAAATGACGGATCGACCAACATTTGCTCAGCGTGGCATCTATTATACGTGCTTTGTTATTTAGCTACTTTGAGGTCTCATGTTTGACTAAAATCATGCCCAAAGTCTCAAGAGAAGCCTCATTGTGTAGGAGGCCCATGTCTACTACATAAAATTCAAATTTGCAAAGAGAGATGGAGTCAGTCAGAGATATGCACTCAAAATATGTGTGCTCCTAGATTGAATGAGGCTTTTTTTCCTTTCTCATTCTCTGTTGATCCCCTCTCCCCGTCAGCTGAAGTGTGATAAACAGACCACACTAGCGGGTTTCCTCCACATCATATAAGGAAGATGAAAACATGAACAGTAGGAAGCTGGAAAATCTCTGAGAAGTTTCAGAGCAGCTGGGAATTAATGGACAGGACTTTGCTTTTAGCTTGAAGAGAAAGAAAGCAGCCTTGGTAGGTGCGTGGCGTTGCTAGGCAACCCCAAGCTACTCCCAGCACAGGTTCATTCTGCTGGTGGCCTTCTGAGGAGGTGATTCGTTGTGTTTGTAAAGTGCAAAGCCAGCTTCTGCTTAAGGAAAAACAAAACGTAGGAAGTAATTAGTCTGGAGGGCAAATGGGTCTCAGGGGGCGGCTTTTCTCTGGAGAGGATCCTATAACTGGAGTTGGATTGGGCTCATACGTGGGGATCCAAGAGGTCTCCCGTATGGGGTCTTCTGGATTTCAAGCTAGCACTGCTGACTTCCTTGAGTCCTACCTCCGAGATCATGAATACAGAATGCCTTAAGGCAGAGCTGTTTGGTTCTTAGTGCAGCTCGAGGGCTGGCTGGCTGGAAACTTCATGTTCTAGCATGACCCCAGACCAGTGATTCTCAACTGAGGCAATTCTGTCCCCATCCCTTCCCTCCAGAGGACATTCGGCAATGTTTGGAGACATTTTTGATTATTACAACTTGGGGAGGATGCTACTGACATCTAGTGGGTAGAGGTCCGGGGTGCTGCTTAACATCCTACAATGCACAGGGCAGTTCCCACAACAAAGAATGATACAGCCCCAATGTCAATAGTGCTGAGGTTGAGAAATCCTGCTGTGACCTAAAGCTCCATGAGTCTTGAGACCTCCTTGTTTGCTGTTGAATCGCAGAGCCTGGCTTGTGTCAGGTACACAATAGGTGCCTGGCCCTTACTATAGACTCTGCTGAGAGTCCTGAGAATATAGTAGGGGCTTCTCAAAGATCAAGGTCTTCTTCCCAGGGAGAACTTTCAAGGGCATCAGTGATATCTTGGGCCAATTCTATCAGACTTCCAGTGCTTTTGGCAGTGTGGAAGTGAAATAGTTTCTAAGACTTCTACACATAGAATTCTAACCACTAAAAAAACCCCCCATCAACACAGTAACCAGATAGGCAGGTTTTTGCCTTAACAAAATTAGAGCTGATGCAGAAATTTGGAATTAAAAAAACAAACAAACCCCAAACACAGCCTTATATTGAGGTGACTCCTGAATCTTCAACTCTAGTCCTCTGAGCTCTAGAACTGAACTCCAACTTGCATCTCAACATCTCCATCTGTTCACTCACAAGCACCTCAAACTCAACAGAGTTGAGACTCTTTACCGTCCCTCCCCCAAACTCAGATCCCTTGATTGGTGAATGACACCTCCATGTACCCAGTGCCCAAGATGGAAATTTTGGAATCATTCTCAATTACCCCCCAACCCCCATCTCTCTCATCTCTTGTATCTAGTCAACAACCAAGTCCTGCCTTATTTTCCTCTTAATTATAAGAAGTCCTACCTGTCCTTCCTCCTAAATATCTCTGGAATCTGCCCTCCACTCCCATCCCTACTGCCTCTACATTAACCCAAGCCATCCTCATCTTTGCTCTGGACTCTTGTGGAAGCTTCCTGACTTGTCTCCAGTTTTGCACCATCATCCAATTCTCTCTGTTCTAGACACTGCTGAAAACACTTCTATAGCTTTCCATTGACCCCAGGGTAAAGTCTCAAGTCCTTTACCTGGCTTACAGATCCTATATGAACCGGTTCTCACCATGTCAGCCTATGTCAGTATCACTTTAGGTTTTGGTCAGACTGAAGCTGTTGGCCTTTCTTTTTCCCTTTCCTCATCTGCCTGATTCAACCCATCCTTCAGATCCCCACTCAGAAGTCAGCTCCAGGAAGCCTTCCCAGAACTCCCAAATCCAGGCTAGCTCCACCCATCATGGCACTTTTATCGTGTTCTATCCACCATACTGTATCACAACTGTCTGGCATCTCCTTGATGCTTGCCAGACCCTGGAGCAGCCCTTCCTTAAGACATTTTACTGTCGCCTGTTGGAAAATTGTTGTAGTAAATGTGCACATTGTCATTAACTGCAATTTGAACGATGCCCCGAGAATTGTGCAGTGTACATCTGAACAGCTGCCCTGAGCACTCCTGTTATGACGTAAACCCATCGAGGCAGGGACCATGTCTATCTTGTTTACTCTTGGATTGCCAGTACTCAATAAATACTCAGGGGAATGGATGAATGAATGGCTTCTGACTGAAATCAGCATCTTCAATGCCTTTGGCAAAGTGGCAATGGAATAGTTTCCAAGACTTGTCTACACATAGAATTCCAACCAGTAAAAAAATCCTTCAACAAGGTTACCAGGTAGGCAGGCTTTTTGCCTTAACAAAAATTAGGCATGAGCAAAGCAAAGTCTACAGCACAGTAAAAAGGGGAGCATGGATGCACTTGAAGGAAGCTATAATTACCATAAAAGGCTTTTCTAAAAAAGCATCAAGAAATGTTCCGCTATGTGCAGCAATTTAGAGGTAGAAATAAGTGGTTAA